TCATGTACTTGGTGAGGTGCTTTTTCGGGTCCCCATTTCCTTCATACTTGGGGATCTTATAGGGCATGAAGTTCGGAAGCATTGGGAAGCTTCGGATTTCCTTTGAGAAATGGAGGTTATCATCATCATCGTCAATTTCATAAGATCGACAAGGCCCATCTGACCCTTCATCATCTTGAATGTCTGGGGAGGTGGAATTACTTTTCCTCTGCTGCCCCAATCAACTAAGTCCCTTCTCTCCTTCCTATTTCTAAGAGTAGGAAGAGCTTGTTCTTGCTCCTATTCTTGTTGAACTGATCTTCGCACTGAGCGGACCCTATTACTAGGGTCTTGCCTTATTCGGTCGAAGAAGCTGACTGACCTTTGTGCTTCATATTCTTGAGGAAAATTGTCCCTCAATTGTGGTTCTACTGGCTGGCTCCCTTGCACATAGGATGTGACTACTACGCCTACTTCTCTTTCGAGGAGGCGTTCTCTGTGCTGGCTCATATGGCCTCGGGAACAAGACGCGGGAGCTTCTTGAGCTGGGTAAGATCCTTGGGGCATTTGAGAACCCTGGTGACCTCGGGCTTGCATGAGGAGTTCATGCATCGCCATATTCTGAGCTGCAATGTCTCTCATGCCCGCAGCTATTTGAGTCATTCCTTCAGTGAGCATGGTTGTTCTTTCACCTCGACGACGCTGGTGATGGGGTCTCTGGTGAGTGACATTGTTACGGAGCACCTCTTCTTCAGAGGCCTCTCTCATAGGATTGTCGTCTTCATGGCTGTAACTCATCTTATCTCCTTCTTTAAGGGTGATGAGAACTTGGATTATAACTCCACTTTGCTATTTTTCAAGAACGTGCCCTTTTCAGGGTAAGTTGCTAGTTTTTTGGTGGTTTCTACGGTGGAGAATGCAGAACTTTGGACGGGAAGTTTCCCACAGACGACGCCAATCCGTTGACCTCGCAAATTGGACCCTCCATGTGGCCAACCGATAGCTACTCCACGTATTCCTCCCTGCGTACAGTCAACGCACAATCAGATGCACACGATCGGAACCAGCAGGGGTGGTGGCAACTGTATACACTCCGACGGTCAAGTTAGCCTCAGGTGATCGGAAGAATATCAAGGTTGTGCAAAATAGTGAGGAAGAGAATATATATTTGCTTGTTATGAAAAGCTATGTTGTAAGAGTTTCACTACCTTTGCCTCTTGTCAAACCTTAAGTATTTATAGATGAGGAGAACCGTTGGATGTGAGACATGTGTATGCATCTGGCGGTGTGAGGCGTCTGCTCATTGGCATCAATCAGCCGCGTCTATAGAGTGGGCGGGTAATTACTTCTCCTGAGTTTAGTTGACATAAAATTGATACATCACATCAACTAGACTCATGGAGACGTCAAATCAATTAAACCTTAGGGGCAGAAAGGATCCTGACATAGATCTCTTTTTCCTCAGAGTGCTCCTCGGCTTGGCGAGGACGCTTCAATCGATTTAGCATAATTGTCTATGCCTCACAGTGCGTTAGCAGATCAACAACATTGGTAGTGAAGTCACTTCGGAACCACTTCGGATGGGTGCTGAACACCTCGTAATAGACAGAGGTAGACTTTCTAAAGTGGTTCGGATATGGGCGTAACAATGACGACAGAGGCTTTCAACAACTAAGACACTCCAAGAGGAGCTCCACCCGATTTTCTTCCTGTTCGATGCCTCTTCTTCAAGTATGGAGCATTGATTGCTTATTTCTCTCTGGTCAGTCTCTCATAACCTCAACCATTGGCATCTTAAGCGCATATCTCAACGGCTTCACCTTTATAATGCAAGCAACTCTCTTTCGATCACATCTGGTATGTCCCAGTATCTAACAACGCACGTCATAGGGAGGGGGTGAAGTGCACTTAAAGTTCTGGTTTCAATGTTTGTTAAGGATTAAGCCCTAATCCCGACCACCAAGAGCAGTACTTAACTAAAAAGATATCACAGAATGAGCAATTCACTCTCAATATGAGAGCTACGAGTACTCGCGGTTGAACATTTTCACTGTAATGATGAAGAAGATAGGTTTCATTACATCTCTCTAGCATACAAAATATGACATCGTAGTAAATACTTTATAAAGCTGATGTTTTAAATGTAGCATATGATTAGGCTTCACACCGTCTGGCATTAAAGAGAATCATGTTGTTATATCATATTATAACATGTCATATTAATGGCATCATTTTAAAATATCTATCATTTTTATTTTTTTTTGGGTCAAATTCCAAATTTGATCGATCATTTACAGGTTCTCACTGGCATGGTGGGCTCACACTTTCCCAATAACCGGACCTGCCATTGCCACACTGAAATGGTACCAGAGAAGGAATGGCAACTCAGATAATAAAGACAGCAACAATTCCTCAAATTTTCGGATTCAGATGGCAAAGATATCAAGACTTCTACTTGTTAATTCTTCTAGTCTTGTGTTGCTCGGTCAAGTGAGGAAGTCTAGATTTCCGAGGCGTCCAATGAACTTGATTCATTTAAATCCTGAAGATTAAAAAAATAATAATAAAAAATAAAAAACTCAATACAGACATAACTAATGGAATCATGACAAGGCTTAACTCAAATCCTTGTTAAAAAATTGTTTGGGCCAAAAGTTTAAAAAAAAAAAAAGAAAAAAAAAAAGGCAAATAAGAAAAAACAGTGTTGTGATCTCAAGTTAGGCCATGGCCCATAATCAAGCGTCATGATAATGAGCTAAGTCATCAAACAGAGTTCAATGAGCGGCAATTACACCACCATGCAAATGTCATGTCATATTGGTTAGTCAATGTGCATCACATGTTTATCCAACTTTTTGTAAATATTTTTATTGAACCTTTTTCTTTTAGTCTAATCTAATAGTATTTTGTAATGAAAATGATGTCAAATCAATCAAATTACTTTATTTTGGGAACTCGCTTTTTAAATACTTTCATCTATATCTATTATTTATATAAGAAAAAGAACCATAAAAAGAAAGAAAAGTTAGTCGACACATCCAAAAGATGTGAGGCTCTACCATGTTTACTTTATTTTAGTTATTTAATTTAATTTATAAGGAAATTTAATGATAACACGCACTAAATTAAAATAGACACAACGTAAATAATTTATAATGCCATGCCATTATTTACTATAAAAAATGGTTTTGTCCAGTCTTACATTTCCACATAATTAAGATAGTGAAATTAAAAGAATAATAATTATATTTTGTCAAATGCGTTGACTAATTAGATTGATTCAAGTAGTCGACTAGGTAATTTACGTAAGAGACATGAAATTTGAAAAAAAAAATTAAATTAAATTTAAATAAGTCATGTAAGTCATGGTTGGATTTGATATATTGTACATTTATTACCAACCACACCTACGAATTTACCCGTTAAGAAAAGTAAAGAATTATTATAATCCCTTTACGGTAAGAAAGGTGGAGTAATTGTTAACCCTTTTTTTTTAAAATGAAGTTTTCATGATAATAAATGTCTCAATTTGATTTACAAATATTAATTTCTTTCGTAACTCTGTAAGATGAAATCTTTTGAGATTGATTGGCTTATGAAAAATGAATATAGGAGAATAGGTAAAATAATAATGTTAGTGATTATTAAAAGTTTTCATACTTTTAAATAGAGTCTTTATTTGTATTTGAGAGTAGTTAGGTTAGATAAAAAGGCTGTAGTTCTCAAAGTCATAATATAGTTTACATGTTAGATAGGTTTTTATGTTTAGGATATTATTTGTTTATTCTAAACTCTAGTGATGCTTAATAATTCTGACTTCTTTAAAACTTTTGAGGGCATCAAGAATTTTCAGTTTAGACCTTCCACCTCCAATAGGGGGGCGCCTATTGGAAATCCAGGACCCATGTGGCCCTGGATGAGGAGAAAAATACTTTTTAGTTCTTGTAGCAAAAATTTAAAAGTCTCAAATATAAATTACGATATCTAGGTATTTTTCTAAATTTCATTTTATAATGTCAATCATAACAAAAGTGCATGCTTAAATTTGTTGGCGTCCTGGAAATCCAGGACCCATGTGGCCCTGGATGAGAAGAAAAATCATTTTTAGTTCTTGTAGCAAAAATTCAAAAGTCTCCAATATAAATCACGATATCTATCTAGGTATTTGTCTAAATTTCATTTTATAATGTCAATCATAACGAAAGTGCATGCTTAAATTTTGTGGTTGCAAGTTGCCAAATTAATATCAAGATATTTTTAGGTAGGTTAACATTCATTTTTTAATAATTATTCGTCCACCATATAGGAATGACAATCGACTCTAACCAATGGCTCGACCCTTGGGTGGCACAAACTCACTCACGCTTAAATTGGTTGCAAGTTGCTAAATTAATCCAAGATAATATGTTAAGGTAGTTTAACATTCATTTTCTGATAATTATTTGCCCACCACATAGGAATGGCAAACGACTCTAACGATTGGGCGGCATGAACTCACGCTTTTCACGAGTGGCTTGTTGGGCAACCCTTGTAACTCTTTGATTTTATTTATTTATTTATTTATTTTTAAAAATTAATGAATTAAAAGAATTGAATGGCTAGTGAGTTCAAGCTCGACTCGGCTCACGAGCCCCATAGATAGGTTAAGATAATTTTTCTTCATGAGTCAAGTCAATATTGTTAAGAGATAAAATTTTACATCGATTAAAGATAGAAAAATAGACCAACTGATGATGTCTTGGGCTAATTCTCTTAAAAATATTGATCTTTTAAAATGAAATTTCATGTCTTAACAGAGTCATTAAGCGATCTAATTAAGACTTCAACATACCGATTTCAAGATTTATTAAGATGAGACCTCAAGTAGTGTAAAGTAACTAATCCAATAATTTACATGGCCTAATTTATGAAATTAGCTTTGCACCCCAAAAATCACGGAATCAACAATGAGCAGCCATCCCAAGATCCTGCGCCCCGCTGGTCAGTTTTTTCTTATCATCTTTCTCTCCGCGTTTCTCCATCAAAATGTTAATTTACATCTGTCAGGTTTTATACGTCTTGAATGTTTGTTTAGCATTTCTCATCACGGGTTTTGGTTTTTCTATTTTCTTGTTAGAAATAAAACTCTGGTTAATGACCATCAAGAAAATCCAAGAAAAGTTTCCAAGGAAGAATAAAGAAAAGAAGAAAGAAATGAATGAATGTGCCTTTTTGGACAATCAGCAATCTTAGAAGATGTCCATATCCCAATTAGGAAATAATGACACTATGCATTTATCTACTCGAATTCGATAAAGGTGGGGAAATGGTGTAAGATGACTCTCTTGAGTCTCAACAAAATAGCCCCATAATTAGAACAGCATAGTTCTTGTTTTTAAAGTTCTTTCAAACACGGGTTCATCATCAAGATTATGTTTGTTTGAATTTTCTTTGTCTTAGGCTGTTCAGCATTTCATTTTCTAGGATATCACCGTTTTGTACTGGATTTCCTGAATTTCAATTGGTTGGACGGAACCGGGATTTAGGGGTTGGTTTGAAGGTGAAGTAGAAGTGGGGACGATCGAGGGAGCGCCTCGAGATATCAAGTCTACTGTGTTTAGGCTTCCTAACATCATGACTTGTTAATTGAATTTAGTTAATTCCGCTCTAATGACATCAGTTTATCCGCAAATATTTTTACTTAATTTTTGCAATCACTTTCACAAGTGTCTTAGTGAGAAGGGGTAAGAATTGCTTAAGCATAATCCTTTTGTTATAATGCGATTAATTTATAGTTACTTGATTATGGCCTTATTGAAAAATATAAAGAAATCCAGCAGGCTTTTGTATTTTTTCCCTTTGAATCCTGTGACTTGTTAAAAGTTTGGTCCAGGAGAAGGTGTGGCTTAAAATTGGCATCTATGATTCATTGGTCCTTTTTGTGAATTAAAGTAGTCCATTTATTTTCAAGCAAGTTGATCTACGTGAAAAATAAAAAATAAATAACAAAATTTGTTACTCATACTTTCTTTGTCTATTGGGATATATTTATGCTATTGAAAATTTTGATTGTTTTTTCTTTCTGGAGGCACATCCATAGAGTAGATTAAGATGATTTGCTTGTTATTTGAACATCTATGATATCATCTTGCAGTTCATTGAACATGCAGTTATGCCATCATAGTATAAGCCGATCTCAAGAAGTTTTGAACGCTTAATAAGTCTCATTTTGACAATTGGGGTATCTGAAGAACTTCCGTCAGCTCCAACTTATTATTGTGAGAACTGCTACCTGCTTTGATGGGCTGCTTTTATTCTAAAAATCCACAGCCAATCCCGGGTTATGAGGACCCTACTATTCTTGCATCCGAGACGCCCTGTGAGTATTCAGAATGTAATACAAACTCTTTTTGTGCATGTAAAATACTTCTTTTCTAATTGTTTTATGTGAAACATGCTTAATTTTCTTTTCTTAACCATAAAGTCTTTGCTTTTCGTTTTGTCAATTTCTGAGTATGTGTCTATAACTTTTAGCTACTTGATACTTATTTTAGGCCAAGTACAGAACGATGATGTATCCTCGTATGCTATCCGTGTCTTGTTATCTCAAGGCTAAGGATATGAATACTGGTGATAATTACATGTTTAGGCCTTGAAAAATGATTAACATCATTCCCAACATTAACGTTGGTAATATTTTCTGTCGATTTTAATACAGTACCATACAATTATGAGGATCAAAACTTCTTCGTTTTTAATTGAGTAATCATGGGGGATGATTAGTGTGATCAATACGTGATTTAGTTATTGAAACATTAACATTTTAATGGCCACAAACAATGAACAACCAGTTGTCTTGTAGGGGAAGGTTCTAGAGCTGGTTAATTGTCAGATAATAGACATTTGTTTATTTAATTTGAACTTATCACATTGAAATATGCTTTGGCTAATTGAGTAAGCTAAAAACATGCAATCAACTCTAACTCTGCTTAGATTGCTTCATGCTTCTTCATTCATTACAATCGTTATTTCGATCCAGCTAAGGAATGGGCTAATAAGGTTTCAAACATTGTCTTGCAGTCACAGTGAGTGAAGTTGAGGCATTGTATGAACTATTTAAGAAAATAAGCAGCTCAATAATCGATGATGGTCTCATTCACAAGGTAATATTACAATTTTTTGTCAAGAATTTTCGTGCCTAATTATTTTAATTTTAAACATTTTGTGTAATGAGTTTAGGATGAGTCCCAGTTAATGTGTAGCAACTTTCTTGTGACTTCTTGACCAGGAAGAGTTCGAGCTAGCACTCTTTAGGAAAAGAAACTGGAGAAATCTGTTTGCAGATAGGGTAAGTTATTACGAGTCCTTTCTCCTGCATATTCCTTTATTCTGATGCATGCATCTGTTTTTGAATATCTCCACTCAAATTCTGCTAATTTCGAACAAGAATGTTACTTATGAATGTTCAGTGATTATATAGATATTTGATTTATTTGATTACAAACGTAATGGAGTGATTGAATTTGGAGAATTCGTTCGATCATTAGGTGTGTTTCATCCCAACGCACCAACTGCCGACAAAGTTGCCTCTAAGATATAATTTATTATGAAATAAGTTACAACCTGTATAGCTATGTCTTCTATTTTTCTCATCTTTAACCTAAGGTGTTCTTTTCGCAGCTGCATTTAGATTGTATGATCTAAGGCGCACTGGATATATTGAGAGAGAAGAGGTAAGCGCCTCGTCCTCTGAACTTGCTTATTTTTATCACCCAGTTTCCGTATCCTAAATATTTTTCAAAATTCATTGACACGAGTTTTGAAGTAAAACCTGTCTTGTTTGCTTTTTTATTGCTCTAGTTAATGGATAATTTCCAAGTTGATATTTTAGCCGCCTTATAACTTCGCCTCGGATTAATGTTTTTAATCTTTCGTGTAATGTGACAGTTGTACGAGATGGTATTGGCACTATTGCACGAATCAGATGTTGTAGTTTTAGATGATGAGGTTGAAATGATTGTTGACAAGGTGAAAATGGCTCCACTTTTCTTATGCTCTTCTCCGTTCCCGTCTTCATCTGAAAATTACATTATTGTCAGTTTATTTTTTGCAGACATTCAGTGAAGCTGATACCAAAGGTGATGGAAGGATTGATCCAGAAGAGTGGAAAGAATTTGTATCAAAAAATCCATCTCTTATAAAGAATATGACTCTTCCATATCTAAAGTAAGTGCATTTCATATTACTCGGCTCTCTTGAAATGGCGTCAAATCAAACCTGAAATTTTAAGTTTACTCGTCGAATCTTTTTAGTGTCTTGTGCAAACCTTAGTCGTTTACTCCCATTTTCATTTGCATTTCAGAATTCTAATTTCTTTGTTTTTTAACATTTTTTATTTGAGATAGTAGGAAACTTTTCCAAACTGGCAATATGGATCTTATGAGTAGGAGGTTTACTCTGTGCTCTAGTAATGATGTATTCTTGTATTGGACAGCATGGAGCCTAATCATATTCTACAATTTCTCTCAACCATGTATCGACCTACATGTATATGAGCATCCCATGCACAAACTAGATCGTCCGAATAATCCAATTATACAAATGGCATCTTTTTGGAGTCGTTTTTAAGGTTGGAGATGCTTGAGAAACCTTGTGTTCTTCTTTAGTCAAAACTGTAGTGATCAATGGATGCAACTCTCACATTAAGGATAAACCATTATGAATATGTGCATGCTTTGCTTGTTATCGTATTTCTTTCTACTTACTATTGCTCGTTTAAGAAAGGATTATGGCTTAATTCCAAAATCAAAACAGTATAAACATTGTGCAATGGCTTTTCCAGGGATATAACATTAGCATTTCCTAGCTTCGTGCTGCGCACTGAAGTCGAAGACTCAGAAACGTAGTGTCGTGGTTAGGCCAAAATAATTAATCAAGAGTCTCGTCTACCAATCTTCAAAAGCAACATCCTTTTAGAAGAAAAAGATTCAGTTGATGCAGTAAGAAGAAATTACATCAAGAAAGAATTGAAGAATCGAGTAAAATCTTCGTTCAGTTTGCGTGCTGGTTCTTAGAATATTGATGCAAATCAAGTGTATGAAAGCAAAGGTTTGCATAATTAGACGAGTTATGTTGTGTAGTCTAGATTTCTGAGATAGCAGTAGTTTTCACTGTTCGAATACCTTGATTCCGTGTTTGATTTTAACTATGTACTTTCACCCTATCGAAGAAATTGGATATTCGAATATAGCATCATTTATCCTGGAGGAAAATCAATATCCTTACCATGATTTTTATTTTAGTTTGGAAAAGAGAACTATACAATTCCCTTTCCATTTGTTTTTTTAATTCAGCAATCAACAAAAATTGAATTTTTACAATCAATCACCTCGAAATAATAGTAGCTTTATTTTAAATTTGGCATATTATATTTAAGCATCAAGTTCAAACTTTCTTTTTGCACTCTTAACTCTTTAGAAGCGCATGCTGTATAAAGAGGCAGAAAATTCATTGGTAAAATATTCAATCAAACGTGCATTTTCTCTGGCTATGGATCCGATATTACCATTCAAAAACTGAAAATTTATAACTTCAATTGATATGGGGATTTCATTTAGCACGTTTGACATTCTTTATTTCAAAATTCTTTTTTTCCTACATACTCATTTTCAATCGCATATTCACACAATAAAATATTTTGCACGTAAATCTATTTTTTTAACCACACGTCTATAACATAGTAAAATATCACATTAAGGGAGAATCATTTTTTGGACGATTTTAACCTTCCTTTAATTTAATTATTTCAATATTAACTTACTTTTTATTTTTCGATATGTAAAAATACTATAAAATTATTGTCATTTATGAAATTTGTGTTATTAATTTTCAATTAATTAACATTCACATTAATTTAGATTCAATAAATTTTCACTTGATAAATCATGAATTACATGAATTTGAAGTTATTATAGACGAATTTATTCATATTCATGTAACTGAAAATTTTAATTGGTGTTTAAATTTATGTATTAACAAATAATTTTTATGTATCAAATGTAATATGAAAAGATTGCTGATTTATAATATTTCATCATTACACTTTAAGTAAAATTTTCTTCTCTTAAATTTCTATGTTAAATTTTATTTTCTTTAATTCGTCCGAGACTCATCAAATCCTCCAATAAATTGGTATCAAAGATTATTTTTACATCACTTATAAAGTATTTTAAAATAACGTACACAATACACGTTCAACTTTGACTAGTTCTTCCAAAATTCACTATCCAAATCTTTACTTTTGCCAATTAATAGCCCTCAAACATGGCCTTAGTTAGCATCAATTAATCCCATCTTTCTTTGATAAACATTTGTATGATCTTTATAAGACATCTTTTTCAGATGAAAAATCTATCCATTGTTTAATTCTAATTCTTTGAAAACTCTTTTTTCTATATACTCATTTTCAATCACACATTTATACAATAAAAAATTCTACACGTAAATCCAAAATCTTTCTTGACTTTTTAACCATACATTCTTCAAAATTAACTATTCAAAACAATGCTTTCCCAAAGAAAAATGCCACCAAACACATGCTAATGTGAGCCCTGGTGACCATGTTTGCATCCCTAGATTCTCAAATGCTGAGATCGATTGAAAGTTCTATTTCATCTGAACTACTCATTTTAAAATGATATCCATCATTTTTTTTTCAACAAGAAGCTTTCTACTGTGTACATGAAAGAAAACATTGTACCTAGGAGCGATCACTGACATTTTACATTATGGGATCACAATCAAACTTTTAAAAAAAGTGACGAAATTTTTTTTATTGCTTTATATGGGCTATAAACTGTTATAATACTTATTCATTTTTTATTATTTTTTACATCTAAAAAATATATATATATATATATATATATATATATATATAAATCAATCATTTTTAGGATTTCTTTTTTATTATTGTTACTTTTTCCTCTCAATCAATTTTTTTTTAAATAATATAATAAATTTCTAAATAAAATTTTTGATGTCATGCTTCATTTGAAAAAAAAAATAAAATTAATTGATCGCGAGGAAAATGTAACAATAATAAAAAAAAATCCTAAAAATAATTGAATTTTTTTTATGTATAATTTTTCTTTTTTTCAAATATGTAGTGGTAAAAATTTATTTATTAGTCCAAGTGGCCCAAACATAAAATAGGGTCCACATACGATTCAATTGCGCCATCATCAGCCCAACTCATTATAACAATCGACCCGAATACACAATCCATGACCTATATGTCAATTCGAAATCTCCAATAATCCATTTTCTAGATAGATCACGTTACGATTTATCCAGATCTGGTGAGAGTTATCTACAAATGGATCTGATATCTCAACTGAACAGATCGGATTAGATTTGGCTCCAACCAACCACGAAATCTCGAAGAATCCCCGCCAATCTTTCCTAGATGGTTATCCCGCTCCTATAAATTCAGTAGTCGGTCAAGCATTCAGGTATCAGAATTTTTTTCAACAAGAAGCTTTCTACTGTGTACATGAAAGAAAACATTGTACCTAGGAGCGATCACTGACATTTTACATTATGGGATCACAATCAAACTTTTAAAAAAAGTGACGAAATTTTTTTTATTGCTTTATATGGGCTATAAACTGTTATAATACTTATTCATTTTTTATTATTTTTTACATCTAAAAAATTTATATATATATATATATATATATATAAATCAATCATTTTTAGGATTTCTTTTTTATTATTGTTACTTTTTCCTCTCAATCAATTTTTTTTTAAATAATATAATAAATTTCTAAATAAAATTTTTGATGTCATGCTTCATTTGAAAAAAAAAATAAAATTAATTGATCGCGAGGAAAATGTAACAATAATAAAAAAAAATCCTAAAAATAATTGAATTTTTTTTATGTATAATTTTTCTTTTTTTCAAATATGTAGTGGTAAAAATTTATTTATTAGTCCAAGTGGCCCAAACATAAAATAGGGTCCACATACGATTCAATTGCGCCATCATCAGCCCAACTCATTATAACAATCGACCCAAATACACAATCCATGACCTATATGTCAATTCGAAATCTCCAATAATCCATTTTCTAGATAGATCACGTTACGATTTATCCAGATCTGGTGAGAGTTATCTACAAATGGATCTGATATCTCAACTGAACAGATCGGATTAGATTTGGCTCCAACCAACCACGAAATCTCGAAGAATCCCCGCCAATCTTTCCTAGATGGTTATCCCGCTCCTATAAATTCAGTAGTCGGTCAAGCATTCAGGTATCAGAATCCACTAGACTCTAATTCATTTCTTCTTTCTTCCATCTGGCATTTATCAAACTTTGAACAAGATTTACTGACTTGACCGTCGAAGGGTCTTCGGCCGACACCACACGTGTCTTTTTAAGATCTTTTTACGATCTTTTTTCTTGGTTCTATTTTTCTTGAGTTCCACGGGATTGCTGGTGGCCTACTTGATCCGATTTCTTGACTGTAGAACATACCGTCTACAACTTGGCTCCCAACGTGGGGCCCTAGCAATCATTCTTACAAATGAGACTCTCATCATTACTATTCGACAATCATCCTCGCCATGTCAAGAACTTCTGAAACCCATCGTATAGACGGCTTCGCTGATCATACTTCGGAAGAATTAGCTCGTCAAGAAGCAGAACGAATGACTCGTCAGGATGTGGAAGCAACAATGCAACAAGGAGACGGCTCAAGTCATGCTGCCGCTCTGCCTACCACTCCAACGTTAGCTCGTCCTATCCATCTAACAACCATCGAGTCGATCCATCCGATCTAGCCAGTAGTTGAACGGTAGAGTACTGTCCATCCTGCCTCTACACACCCTCAACCTACTACTCCTTCTGGTGAAGTCACTGCACAGCTAACCCAACTCATCGAGTTGACAAAACAGAATTCACAAAAGCTCTAAAGGCTAGAAGCGGAGAATGCTGCCATCCGTGTGGAGAATCGAGACCTTCAAGAAAGAGTAGAATCCTTGGTATCTGATTCAATATTGTCACGCCCATCACGGTCGACTCCTTCACTTGACCAAAATTGACTTAGGATCATTGGTTCAAATGTCCAATTTGTCGCACCGCTTAACGGAGGATTAGGAGATGCACAACCACATCCTACTAATAGATAGGACCCAGAATTTGTATGAAAATTAGTAGCGATCGAAGCCATGGTTCAACGTACCCCAGGGATGCCAGGGCTTATCAAGAAAAGTGCAGCCAGTTGTTTCGCCGACTCTCCCTTTGTCGACCAAATTGCTCTGGTGAAAATGCCCAAAAAATTCATCTTTCCTAATATGAAGTTATACGATGGGACAGCTGACCCAGACGATTATATAGCTCAATATAGATAGAGAATGTTTACTGCCGCTATACCAAGAGACCTTCGAGAAGCTTGCATGTGTAAAGGGTTCGGCTCTAGTGTAGTGGGGCCGACCCTATAGTGGTATACCAATCTTTCAAATAATTTTATATCATCATTCGCCCAACTAATTGATACTTTTGTTGAACAGTTTGCAAGTAGCAGAAAACTTGAGAAGCGATCCGACGACCTCTATCACATAGTGTAGAGAGGAAATGAGTCATTACCGGAATTTGTAAGACGATTCAACCGGGAGAAAGTTTTCATCCCTAGCTACAACTAACAAACTGCCATTTCTGCTTTTCGAAAGGGGCTCCTCCTAGACACTGATTTGTATAAGGAACTCACCAAATATTCATGCAGCACAATGGAAGATGTCTTGGCCAAAGCTTGGGCTCAGATTAAATGGGAAGAGGATGATGCTAATTTTAATTTCACTAGACGTTAACTCCATCGAGAAGAGCTGCGACGACCAAACAAGGCCAAGAAATGGCCTGCTGATACCCACTCCACTTCGGATAGGAGAGACACCAAGCATAGGGAACTACCCAAACTAATTGAACGACCTTCTGCAAGAATGAAGATTGGGGTCCCCGAATACAACCTCTTTATCATGCCAACAGAACTAATTGCAGTATTGAAGGGAATGGGAAGCACAGTGAATTGGCCCGAAAAGATGAAAAGCTCTAGTGACCAGCGAGATAAAAGTAAATGGTGTGAGTTTCACGCTGACCATGGCCACTGCACAGATGATTGTATTGCCTTGAGTTTAGAAGTAGCTGGACTATTAAAGCAGGGACGTCTTATGGACATTCTAACCAATAAAGGAAAGGAGAACGTCACCAGATGA